AGTGGGCACCTTTTGCTCTTGTATTTTAGAATCTGATGTTAGAATGCAACATACCATCTTTACCTATTATTAATGTGGACTTCAAAGTTTAAGTTGCAGGGAAAAAATTCATCACAATTTCAATAACGCAGAACCTCCAAAGACTTAATGCAGAAAGATAATGTCCCGTGTTAATAACTGTCGTATTTCTTTAGAAAGTAATTTTTGCTCACAAATAATCTCAACTCTTCTCTACCACATCTGCCAATGAAAAGCTATACTTCAAATATCTACATTTTGAGAGAGCCTATTTGAATTGCTTTTAAAAACAAAGACAGTTTTTTTGAAATGGTGAAGAACAATATGTTTTAGACTTCTGCCACTTAGGTAATTTTTTTCTCAAGAAAAATTGAGCCTTTGAAAGAACGACTTCGTTAGCTGAGTATTTAACTAACCACTTTTGCTATTGACCTTAAGTAACTTATAAGGAAAACAAATAAAAGAAGTCAGGGGTGAAATATAATCAAGAATAAAGAATTAAAATCTTAGTCAGATGTATCTAAGAGTAGAAATTCAAGAGAAGGGGAAAAAGAATACAAATTGCAAGTAATGAATCTATAGGAAATAGTTGTTACTGTGCTGCTTCAAATTTTGCTTTTAATTTCTGGGGATAGATTTAAATTGAACAGCCCTGATTTCTGAGAATGATTGTGATTCTGAAATATTTTTAATTAAATAATGCAGCAAATAATTTTGGAGCACCTATTAAGTTAGTCATTACCCTATACACATCAACCATTTATATTACAACATCTGTATTGTTACTTTTCAACTGTCTTTCATTTTGTTTATTAATATAACAGCAAATATTTTTATCATCTATTATATTCAAGGCAGTGAGGGTGGGAAGTGGGTTGGGCTTCTTCTGTTTCAACATAAATTATGATGCTGCTGTAGGGTTTTTTCTGTTTTGTTTTTGCAGCTATCTTTTATCAGATTAAAGAAGTTCCTCTATATTCCTAATTTGTTGTGTTTTTTCTACCATGAATCAATGTTGAATTTTATCAAATGATTTTTTTTTCCTAGATCTTTTGAGATGCCTATATGAGCTTTCTCTCTCTCTCTTTTCTTTTTTCTGTAAATTTGTTGAATTTTAATAGTAGGCCTCAACTGTTAAGTCACCTATGCATTTCTGGAGGGAGCCCATCTGGGTTGTGGCATCTATTCTTTTTATACACAACTGGATTTCATTTATTCCTATCTTGTGTATGATTTTTACATCTGTATTCACAGGAGAGATTGGCTTGTTCTTGTTGTATTTCTTATAAAATTCTTGTCAGATTTTGATATCAATGTGCTGTCCTCATACAATGAGTTTGGAAGTATTTCCTGATTTTTTTTTCCTCTGAAAGACATGTAAAATTGGTATTGTTTGTTCCTCAAAGGTTTTGTGGGAATCATGATAAAACCCAGGCTGGTTCTTTTCCTGAGAAAGAAATTGCAAATTTAATTTCTCTCATAGATACAATACTATTCAGATTTATATTTTTTTCTTGTATGATTTTTTTCCCTAGTTTTTTCCCTCCCTCCTTCCCTTCCTGTTTTCCTTCCTTCCTTCCTCCCTCCCTCTATTCTCTTTGCTGTTTAGAAAATACATTTTTCACATACATATACCTTTAAGAAATAAATGGTATCTGTTATTCTGTGGCTTGCTTTCTTATTTGGTAATATATCTTGAAGTTTGTTTTATTGTTGTTGTATATAGTGATAGAGCTTCCAAACTTTTTAATGGCTATGCAGTATTCCATGGTATGATATTATCATATTTTATTTAATGGATGTCATGTTGAGGAATAGATTGTTTCCAAATTTTGACTGTATAAACAATAATGTAAGAAACATTATTGCTCATCTATGTGAATGTATACATAAAAGTGTTTCTGTTTAATTTTACTTTTTTATTCTTTAATAATAACTAGATCCAGCAAAAATAATGGGAAACAAATTACTGCTCATTTTATTCTTAACATTCTAATGAAGCAGCCTTAGAATTATCTTTTATTCAGAATGATACTTTTTTGCATTACATTAGTACCTTGGTATATATAATTTATCAATTCTGCCTTCACTACCTGTTACTGCTCAGGTTTGATTTAGTGTAATACCCTTTAATTGATTTATACTTGATTTAAATAAATTTTTCAATAGAGGAATATCTACGTAGGGAGAACATGTCTGTTCTGTTAAAAACTTTATCTTTTATGCTTAGTGTAAAGTCTGGAACATAAAATGATCAAAAAAATGAATTATACATGGAAAGACACAATGAGATATAATGATTTCAAAACCATAACTATGAGCTGAGGGACATTAATTCATTTATTTAGTGAATGATTTTTGTGAATTATGGTAACCAGTGGAGTGTTAGGTGTTTAAGATGCAAGACCAGGCCTACACCTCACAGACTAGAGGGAACAGATGCATAACAGGACACTTACAACACAATGTCTTAAGTGTTGTCATGACACTGAGAGGTATAGAAGAATGAGCGAGGAAACTGCCTTGGAGAGATGTGGAAGGCAGGTGGAGGAGAGGATGCTTGAAATGGTTCTTAAAAGATGACTTTCCCATGGAGAGAATAAGGGGAATAGCACATACAGAACTTTGGAAGTGTGTCATATAGTGGGAAAAGGTGAGCTGTTCAGGGTCATTTGAAATCTAGAAAGCACTGGTGGTGGTTGATAGTTGTGGTATAAGGAGACATGGTTGAGGGATGAGCTGAGATGGTAGAATAGGCTTGAGGAAGATTGGGAAAGCTGCTGGGTTCTGTAAGAAGAGGTCTGGGCTTGGAGTCAGTCAAGACTCACTACTGGTTTTAAAATAGCAGATGTATGAGAAAACGTGGTAAAACAATGGCTTAAACAAACTCAGGTTTGTTTTTTCATCAAGAAATAAGAAGGCAAGCAGTTGCTGGTTTGGGTTCAATGTCTCAAAGTTATCGGGGCAAAGTCTCTGTCTGAGATTCTGTTCCTATTTTCCTCATGGTTGGGTGGTGGCTGCTACAGCTCAAGCCCCCATGTTCAGATCCCAGGTTGATAACAAAAGGAAACATCCCTGAGCAGTTAGTGAAACTTTATCAAAGAATGCAAAAGTTCCTCTAAGATTTAAGTCTCTGTCTCTTTGGCCAGAACTGTGTTTCTTGGCACCTACTTGAATGTAAGGAAGGCTGAAAAATGCTCTCTGGGCACGTTTATGTTCCAAAAATAATAAAGGTTCTATGAGGAGGGGAGAAGGAAGAATGGATTGGGTAGACAACTAGCTGTGTTTACCATGGGTGTGACTTTAGATATGATTCTTAGGAAAATACCTGTGGGCAATATAAAAAAGGTGATTTGGGCTGGGTGGTTTACATGACACCAAAAACATGAAGGTGATATTAATGATGATTTTCAGTTCAGTAGTATTACCAGATGTGTTTTAAGGTTTTTTTTAAAATATTGAGTAAAGTTACAAAGACATGTTTAATATATATTTAATAACCATCTAAGAACCGTATCTTGATAGTGTTCATTCCTTTCATTTTAGTCATTCATTCATTCATCAAATGTTTATTGAACAGCTGTGTGTCAGGCCTTCTGCTGGGTGCTATGGGTAGAGAAGTGAAAAGGTAGGCCAGTTCCTATTTGCACAGATCACAGTCTAGTTGCGGAGATGGGCAATAAACCAGACAGGGAGTAAACCAATCAACAAGATTATTACAGATTATACTATGGAACGCTAGGAAAGAAACAGACTGATGTGATCCAGAGACTAGGATGTGAGGGGCCAGGTGCTCTTTCAGGTAAGGCGGCTAGGCCAGAAAAAGACTTTCTACAGAGGCAGCCTGTGAGTCGAAGAATGAGAATGAGCCAGGCTTGAAAAAGCTGGAGTGTATGTGTTGGTGTGAGGTGAGAGAAACGGGTGCAAAGCCCCAGTGGCAGGACAGGGCAGAAATGGGGGCTTGAGGCTGACATGTGCACATGGGGGAGCAGGGTGATATCTTATGGAGAGGGAAGCAGGAAGCTTTTCATTCAGGGCCCCTCTGACCATTGTGCAGGAGCTAGCGGAAGGCTTTAAGCCAGGAAGATGATGGTCTTATTTATGCTTTCAAAGGACCCTCTGACTGCCGTCTGAGAAGGACTGGGGAGAGGCAAGAGAGGATGCAGGGAGCCCGTTAGGAGGCTAGTGCTTTGGTCCAGGAGAGAGAAGATGGTTTGGATGAGAAAGGTGTCAGAGAAAATGGAGTACCACTGGAGATAATACAGTGGGGCTAGAACTGACAGCTAGGACTTGCTGAGGGGTTACATATGGAAATTAGGAAAAGGTTGCTTTCTAAGTAGTTTCATGCTCCCTGTAAACTCTAACTTAACTGGGTACTTCCAACTTTTCTCAATCTTCATACATTAAGTAGTTAATAGCTACTGGGATAACTGTTTTTTTTTAATTAAGAAAAAGTTACAACAGGAAAGGATTTTTAACAACAATAATTCCAGTTTAGTGTTTGCCCTTGAAGATCTTGTATGTGTCCTTCATCCTAAGGGAAACACCTGCCTTTCTGGTTTCCCAGTTCACAAAAACAAGTGTCCAGAAAATGGACATGTAATAATCTCTCTGTCTTTTTTTTTTTAGTAATAAGACAAATTAAAAGATAATCGCAACAGCTCTCTCTAGGCTTTCCTTATTATTCATATATGCATTTCTGTAGAATTTTATAACGTGAAGAAAGCATATGATTTTTATGTAACTTTACTGGAAATTACCTAATATATACCAGTGAGTGCCTCAGTTTAATGTGCACATAAATCATGGGGGTCTTGTGGAAATGAAGATGCTGACTGTGTGAGTGTAGGTGGGCTTATGATTTTACATTTCTGCCAAGCTGCCATCTGGTTCACACATAACACTTGAATAGGAAGGATTTCAACTTTACTCCACATAGGCATTTTTTCCTGCTCTTAATCACTAATATTCTTATTTTTTAGTGTTTCAGTATCATCAGATTGGAGAAACTGACCCATTAGGCCTTACAAGCTTGGTAAGTAGAAGAAACAAAATTTTTTTCCCCTCTGGAAATCTTTTCTAGGTTTACAATTCACTTTCTGTCCTTGGTCTAAGAAATCCTGGCATATTGATTATTGTCTGGTATGTTCTTGACCCTGTTGACTAAGAATCTAATTACATCCTAAATTGTGACTATTTCCCTAAATATTTGCAGCTGCTTTTACGATGAGCTCTGTAACATTACTAGAAAAAAGGCTCTGTAGATTTTTTGGGAAACCTATAGTACGACTCCAAATAGCTTTTTTTTTCAACATGTGATGTTCAGAAGAACACAGAAATTTAGGGTAACTTTTCAAGTTAGCAGTAATCTTATATGGTTTTCTTAGGAAAGCATGTCTTTCAAAACGGCACACATTTTGAAAAGAAAAATCACATGATCAGTTTAGACAACATACTGAGGAAATAAAGGGTTTAACTCAGAAATCTCATCTGGGAATAATTGATTTTAATATTTTCTATTTCAATAACAATATATAGTTGGTCTATCAAACTAGTTGCAAACCAAAGGGGAGGGCCCATTTAAATAATAAGCTTAGTTACTAAGTTTCAAGTGCCAGGATATTCATACGTAAAATTGAGGTCAAAATTATTTCATCAAAAATGTGTTTTATACAAATTACTAGTTTATGACTACTCAGAATATCATTTTTAGCACAAATAAAACTTTTCCAAATTCTTATTATGCCAAAAAACATACCAATTCTAAAAGACATCTGATTACTTAATCGGTTAAATATCATTCTAGTTGGGATTAAAAAAAAATAAACTTGCCTAGTAGTATTTATTCAGCTGAAAATATAGCAGCAAAATATCCTTTCTGCTGTTAGGCTATTATTCATCTTTTCCCATACTCTCTCCATTTTATACCTTTTCTACACTTTAATATGTTTATCTTTACATACAAAAGATTATATGTCAATATGAATAATTTATAAAGCATATTTGAAAAGGAATACCTGTATCCTATCACCTGAAGAATTAGAACAATACCAGTATCTTTTTATTCTATACTTATCCACCTCCTGTTTCCTCCTCAGAGGTAATCTGAGTTGAATACCAAAGTTTTCGTTAATCATGCTCTTAGAAAAAATAGTTTTACCAAATAGCCATATGAGTTTCCCATGTTTAATACTTTTTCTCATATTTAAGACTTTTTATCGGAGGGAAGCTCCAGTCAGCACTGTACTCAGGGTTACTGTAGGGACTGGGGAAAGAGGGTAAAAATCCCAGAAAGAAGAGAGTTGCTGAAGGAGAGCCCCAAATTCTGCATGTTGACGCTGTCCAAATATCTGGTTGGCCTCCGAGGCATTCATGTGTGGTACGGAGGAGTCACCTCAGATGGAAAGGATTAAACAGAGTTCAGCTGCTGACCACCATGGGGCAAACAGAGTTTGGAGGTTAAGGTTGCCAAGGTATCTTACTGCTAAAACAAATAAACCAAGCATTAGTACTCTTCAGAAAAATGTAACATATTCTCTGCAAGATTCAGATGGCAAAACAAATGACCAAATATATGAAGAAAACAGGGAAGTGACACCCAAACTAAAGAGAAAATGTAATCAATGAGACTTACTCTGAGAAACTGGAATTAGTAGCAAGATTTTAAAGCAAGTGTTATCACTGTATAATAATGCAAAGTATAGTATGATCACAGTAAGTCAGTAGAAGGAATTTCAATGGAGAAATAGAAACTCTAAAAATGAATCAAATGGGAATTTTAGAACTGAAAAATACAATAGATGAAAAAAAATCACTGAAAGAGCTTAAGAGCAGATTGAAAATGGCAGAAGAAAGAGCCAATGAACTTGAAGACAGATAATAGCAATTATTCAATCTAAGTAGCAAAAAGAAAAAAAATTTAAAATAAAAATGAACAGAGACTGACACTTGTAGGACAGTATTAGAAAGTCTAACATGTTTTTAAATGGAGTCTGAAAAGGAGGTAGAGAGAAAACAATGCAGACAAAAGCTTTGAGGAAATAATTGCCTAAGAGTTTCCAAATTTGATGTATTTGGTATTGTTACTAAATCCTGTCAGTTCTAGTGCCAGAAATCTCTGTAAATCCACCCTCTCTTTTCCAGCCTCTTACTGTCTTTTGTTTGCACTATTGTAACAACCTCCTACCTTGTTGCTAGAGACCTGATTCTCCCAGTTTAGTCTATTGTCCACATTGTCACTAGGGTTATCTATCTAAAATCCATCTTTTTCAAAATCAAAACTGATGATTACATTATAAAAATATACATCCTAAACTTCTTAGTAGGGCCTTCACAATACAACCCAATCTTCTCTCCTGCTGAGGACCCCTAATACACCCTCCATATAATATGCTTGTCACTCTGAGCTTCTCATCATTCCCTAACAAATCCTTTTCTACCTCCATGCCCTCCACCGTGCTGCCTTAGTGCCCTTAACTCTCTTTCCCTGTCCTGTCTGCCGTGAAGTCCTCCTCAATCTATCAAAGCCAGTAATCCCTCCTCTGTGTCTCCATGATGCATGATAAATAAACATTGCTGTTATTGCACCCAGCCTGGGAGAAAGAGACTGTTCCATATGCTCCTCTAGTGCAGGGACTGTTCCTCTTTGTATCTTAAAAACTGACTTTGTGCCTGACACAAAGTGGGTGCCAAGTAAGTGTATGTTGAATAAATAGAATATCTGGTAGAAGTTGTATTATATGTATCCGCATGTATTAGGTTGGACTATAGAAAACTTCTGAATTTATTTGATGATTTCTGAGTACAAAAATAACAATTTCTGATAGTTCAATACACACACACTTATATCTGCTAATATATATTAAGGCAGTTGAAGTTTTATACTCCACCTCTATCTATTAGCATAAATCAGGAAATGATAGCAAGTCATATCAAGATATCATCTGACCTAACCTATTGCCTTCAGGCATGTAACATATTTTTATAGTATAGAAGGCACTCAAATAAATTTTTTGCCCAAGGTTTACAGAGCTATTAAGTGGTGGAGCAAGCTGATAAACATTAAAGATACAGTTTTTAAAAAGTACATACAAATCATTTCATTAATATACAAAATTTTTACTAAATTTCTTCTCTTTTCAAATAGTGACAATAAGTGATCCACACCCATCTTCTTCTTTTATAATTTAAGTATTTACTCAAAATGGTATGTGAATATTTTCAAATACACATGAAAGCTGAAAGAATTGTGCAGAGAAAGCACATATACTAATTTTAATGAATAAAAACTATGAAAAATGAGTATGTCCATACTGTCTGTAGACCCCTGAACTAGAAGGTGTGGCAATGTATTTTAAGACACAGACTAGCAAGTAAAGGAAAAATACAAAAGTAAAAATAAAATCACATCAATGCTTTACAACTGCATACAAATGCTGAGCTGTCACAAATTGGGTTCATTTGTAATACTTTTAATTAGTTCCTTTAATTAACTGGGAACTTTGTGTACACTCATGTGAATATAGATTTTATTGCATTTTTTTAAAAACTTTGGGTTTGAAGTTAAACTATTAGCAAGACTTTAGCTACATATATTCTAAAAATTAGTGCTTATCATTGGATGTGGTGCCTTGGTTTTGTGTGGGATACAGATCAGGTCAACTCTGTGCCTGTCCATTTTTGAAGTCAACAATTTTCCAGCTCAATAATCCTGAGACTGATTCATATTATTTAATGACAAGGTCCATAACTGCAGAATGACTCATTGTTTCTTCCTTTCCATTTCCGTATAAGGATACCTCTTTTGGCCTATAATCATTTCCCAAATATTTATTGAACTACAATAGAATGAGTACCATACTGGGGATATAGAAGTGAATTGGGTAGATAGAGGTCCAATAGTCATGGAGTTTAGCATTTAGTAAGGCAAGCAGACTTGAAGTAAGTTATTCTTGCAGGTTACTAAACAAAAAGTTTATTACAATGTATTTACTTTAACTAATAAAGAATTTATTACAAGTGTGGTAAATTGCATCAACTGTCATTAGTCATCATCCTAGGCCAGTGTAAATGGAGGCACATCCTAAGAATAGAGTCTGTAACTGCAGAATTCTCACCTTTATGTCTCACATGCTGCAATTCTGACTGAGTCTGAGGTGGCAGCTAAAAAGCAGCAGTAAAACCATAGTGGCTTTTTTTTTTTTTTTAGTTAGAGAAAAATGTAAAGCTATTGCTGCCCTTTTTTAGATTTTGTGTTAAAAGAATAAAGGAGAAATCTGCCAACATTTTCATTTCTGCACAGGTCTGTAATGGTCCTAACACTTCTTCCTGGTGCATTCGTTTTGGCTATGTCAGGACAAACAGCTTACCCACATTCCCCCTTGCAGGTAAGCATCATAAGGTGTGCAGGGCTCTGGTGTATGTATACCCACAGAAGCTTCTGAGAACTGTTTGACTGAGTCTGAGCTATGACAGGTGGCCTGCAAGTGAACCTGAGGGGATTGAGGTAAACAGGGCTGTAAAACAGGGTGGGGTTGTCCTAAAGCTTTCATCACTTAAACTGGATCATCGCTTCTAAACATGGCTTCCTTCTTTCTGAGCTGGGACTCTTGGAAAATTTGTAGTGGGGAGGTCAGGAATATTGGGGGTTTGGAGGCTGTTTTTTCCAGGCACTGGTGGAGCTTTCTGTTCCCACCTCCTGGAATCTTGAACACTCATGGCTCTGTGTGACTTTAGTTAGGACATTAGTGCCCAACCTCAGAGATATATATATCTGTGTGTACATATGTATATGTGTGTGTATGCATATGCACACACACACCCATATATATGCATGCATGTGTATAGACTGTATATGTATATTTTACTCCCCAGTTTAAATACTTTCACTGGCTCCCAATTCCTTGGTGAATAACATCTAAAATAAGCTCTTAGTCTGGCATTCAAGATTAGCCACTCTATCTCCTGACAACTCCCTTTCAGTATTCTGTAATCTGGCTGACCTCTTTTATTGAACTACTTCCTATCTTTTAAAACCCAGATCAAATATTAACTCCCACAAGAAGGCAGCCTTTCCTCATGCCCACACCCACTATTGAGTGATCTTAATACTTTGTTTTTACCTCTCTTATCACAACATACATTGTATTGTGTTATTTTGTACATTTCTCTGACCCTTTTTGCCTGGCAGGAAGAAAGCTTGTTGTTATTAAAAGTGAAATTAATAGCACAGTATATTGGTAAAAACCAAAAGTAGAGAAATTTTGGGATGTTTTCATATGTAGAAGGGTCTTCATTGGCACTGTTGTCATTACAGTAGCTAACTCTCATTGATGGCTTATTCTGTGCCAGGCAATGAGCTCAGCATGCTACATAAATTATTTTAAGCTCTTTCCGCTAATGCATGCTGATTTTCTTGTTTATCTTTGTGTCCAGCATAGTACGTGGCAGTAGATATAATAAGTGCCTACTGAAAGGTGAATCTACAAGGCCAATATATGTAGAACATGAGATTTCTAAGCCTTTGTAACTCTGGGGTAGGAAATCCTGTGGTAAAATACCTCTGAAGTCAAAATCAGTCAAAGAGAAAAATAAAATTTAAAACCTGTTTATTGCTTACAAACTGCAGTCCAGGGCCGTCTCTTTCCTGCTCTGGCAGAGGCAAGCAAAACCTCCCCCTAACCTCTCAGGTTCAGATAAGCCCTTGGTTGTGCAGGTAATAACCCACTGAAATGGAGATGACCACTCTCCACCCCTGAGGAACACATGTTGATGTGCAGGTGCACTAAAGCCAGGCGAGATATTCTGGAAACATTACAATTTTACCCACAGCCTTCTCTCTTGATCCCAATAGATGTATCATCTTTAAGAAAATGATGGTTGAGTTGATCCATTAGGAAAACTACACCATTATAAATCTCTATTTTGGAGTATATACTGAAGGAAAAAGTGTATTTATGAATGATGGTGTGATAATGAAGAAATATTCTGAATCATAATCCTAAAGTATTTCCTATTATATATGTCTGTATGGCATACAAAAATAAAATAAATTCACTAATTTTAAACCATGGCCCTTCTGATACATGCAGAAAGACATACTGAAGGCAATATTCAAATTGCTTAGTATGAACTTTTTTGTTTAATCCCAGCATTTTACATGTGAGTTTATGAAGAACTAATATATAAGGCTCTAAACTACATCTATGAAGTTTTTGTCATGACTAAACTTGTTTATTTAAACATTAGTATAAAGAACTAAGTAGGTATGGTTTTTAATAATCCTCTGCACCCCCCTTTTTTTTCTCATGTCTTCAGCTTGGTCACTGATGACTGTAGAGCTCAACACAGCTCACAAGAAACCCCTAAAAACCAAGCTGCCTTGTGGACTTGGCATTAAATACAGAAGACTGTGAAAAGTAGTTCAGATTTCTGTTTTTTCTTTTTTACTTTGGATTTCTTTCCGTAAGAAAGCTGAGTTTGACCTATTCTTAGGATTTGGCCCATGGCATTGAACTTGATGGTTTTAATTTCACTGTTGTTTTTCTTCTTTCAGGTAAAAAAAACACAGGGTCCTGGCTGTCATGACTAGAGAAGCATTAAAGCCTTCTTCTTATAATTATACACTTAAAGGCATACTAGGGTCGACACATGCTTTATGTTTCCCGGAAATTGTGAGTTTTTGGTTCCCTAAACTCTTCTAACCTTTCTCTTTAAATAACTCACTGACTTCTAATGGCCCTTAAAATAATGACACCATCAAAATACCTAAAATTAATCTACCTGAATATTAGTTTCCATTTTGTCTGAGGGGATTTTTCACCATCAGGAATTCTATCTTTTTCTTGGTGTTAGTCTCCATCCTATCCTTTGTCTATGTTCTAAAGCTCTTTTCTCTTTAGCTAGAAGATTGACATAAGCTCCTTTACCACTCCAAGAACTTAGTGCCAACTAGAGGGAAATCCCTGAACTTTGAGATTATTCCATTATGACAGGATGGGCCTTATTTCCTTTCTACACTCTCTTGAGTCTCTCATGAATTCTTATTATAGTAGGTATTAGAGAAAATAAATAAAACATAATTTATCATCAAGTGCTTCTATGACTATAGTTACTGAATGTTAGATATGTAGCCTTGAACCTGTTTTCAAGTGTGCCAGGGTTTGAATGCTTCTGTATGGTCCAGTGCCTTAGGCAGATAGGGGATTTCAGTTTTGGGAATTGGGATTACAAATGTAAGGAAACATGACAGGCAATAAAAATGTTTAATCACCCAAACTCTAGAAATTAGGGCAGATTGACCATCTCAATAGCGGAAATGACCCCAAACTGATTACCAAAAAATAACTACCATCACTTTTGTTGCAAAGTTTGTTTTAGAGGTTCAGTAGCATCCATTGAACTTTTCCCCTGACTGTCTTAACACATCTTTTTCGTATTTGAGAGTCTAGCCAGGATTGGAAACAGAGGTGTGAAAGCATTGTGAGAGTGGCTGTTTTTGCAGTACTTTTGGCTAGAAATAAAATAAGCAGGAAATTCTAAAATGTCTTGAGAAAGTTTGTCCTCAAGAAAATTCTTGATTAAACTTTTTTAAAATATGGGATTCAGATATTTAGGTTAATATTCTAATAAGAATCATAGTCATGTGGATGATAACAGTAGTTGAAACTATTCTTTTATTGTCTGTATGGTTACTTTCTAGGGTTTTCAGTATTGTTTGATATGTTCCTCCTGTGGTAGCTGCAGACGCCTTATCAGGCCGAAGAGTTTGGTCATGGTACTTCCATTTTATACATGAGAAGACTGGACACAACGTCATAGCCAAAGTTATTTTGTTACTTTGTGTAGGCAGTACCTTTTACTTCATAGACACTCATACAATACTTTTAAATTTCTCTATCTATTGTAAATCAAGGTTATTTTGAAACACAGAAGTGCTGAGGTCTGTTCTCAGTACCATTTGTGAGAAAGAATGCAACTCCTCATTTTATGAATAATCTTAAAGAAAGATATATTAAATGCTTAACTATGTATGTTGCTGCGCTCAGTCTGTACTTTCCTAGAATCAAGACATTCAGTAAGTTTTTCTACTGTTTATGACTTTATAACAAATTACAATTTAATGTTGATTTGAAGGTACAGAAGCAATCAGACAAATCCAGATTTCTAGAAAAATGATTCGTTTATGATTAAAATGAGAAAGGATTTGGATTCCAGCATGTATAGGGGTGCTGTGGATACCTATAGCTGTGGTAAATAAATGAAAACAAAATTGAATACATTATTATTCACTGAGTTTAACTGAATAGAACTTATTAGCTTAAAACCTGGTTTTGTAAGAGTGCTCTCATTTTAATGTGCTAATTTCAAAGATATTATTACTAAGTGCTTGTGATAATAGTGTTTGAATCAATCTGACAGTGCTCTCTAAATATTTGAATATCATCCTTCATAAATGTATAATATGCCATATACCATTTACTTCTTATTTACTTATTCTTAAAGCATATCTACACAAAACCCACATGAAAATACAGGTATTTATATGGATGTTTAACCTATATTGTAGTAAACAGGAATATGTTTCAGAGCATCTAGATGATTGTTGTTATGCTTATTGAATGAAGCCCAATGTGGAAAGTTGAATATATAAGTACAGAGAATGTAGTTCAAAACCACCTATCTCAAGCAATAATGACCCTAGTCTTCAGCTATAGCAATACATAAAGGTTATATTTATATATATACTTTAAGGGTTGATAAGGGAGCAGTTAAATCCAACATAGTAACCCTGATAGAGAGGTATAATTACATAGAATATCCAGTTTTCATGATCTATATGCATAAATTTATGAGGAATAGATTTCAACTTAATAGAAGGGAAAACCTTCAGAGGAAAATAACTGGGAAGTTTGATTGGATGGTCTCAGGAGACAACAGATTTCCTGTCAGTGGAGATGACCGAACAGATGTTATAGTGGGGGTTCCTGGTTACCTGGGGGGTCCCCATGGTTCCCTGCTAATGAACGATACTGCTTGAAGAGAAGAATCTCAGAATATTATGTCTGGAAAGAGCTTCAGAAATCATCTGGTTCTGCCTGCTCACTTTTCAGAGGAGGAAACTGAGCCCCAGGGAACCCAAATGTGTCATCCAACGTCAAATAGCTAATATGTTTTAGGGAGATTTTTGACAGGGGTCTATTTTTTTTATTTTATTTAGAGCCAAATGATTGGGGACTGTTTTCTCTGAGAAATGTTCGCTTGTGTAGAGTAGAGAAAACTGACATCTACTGAACACAGAAAGGCTTTTATCTCAGGGTAATGATCTGACAGGTGTAACTCACAAAGAACTGGTTTTGTACATGAATAATTAAGAGAAGTCATTTTAAACTTCTCTTCCTTTTTATAAATGCACTGTACTTCTGTGGCAGTGGGAATGTGGCATAGGCTTTATAATGTAAGGATCTCTAAGAAAGAGCAGAAGGGAAGGTCAGGATTAGGTTGCAAATGGGAGGTAAGTACTAAGAGTTCTAAATTCATTTCCCTTCATTATCAGCCATTCCTTGTGGGATATGAGGTAAGAAAAGGAAGGCAGAACTAGTTAAAAAGCACTAGAAGAGCCCGTCAGGCTGGTCAAAACAAAGTATTCCCTCGCTGACTGCTGACTGATCATTAGCCAACACTTGGAGCCTTCTGGGTGCCTCACCCCCCACAGCCCACTCACCACCCCGGCTGCTCCACTGCTTCCACATACACAGACTTCCTGACATTGAAGCAGCTGAAGAGTTAACATCTTCTCTTTGTTGACTGGATACTGAAAATTAATTTCTAGCCACAATGATGTGACTTTTCAACAAAGTTATTTCAGGTTAGCAAAGGCGATCTCCAGAATATGTTGTTTCGGTGAGTCAGTGAGTCCGGTTATTTGGTAATAACTGTAAAGTAGAGGGAAAAATATTTCTTCACTTATGAAGGCCTTTTGTTAAGTCTTTAAAGCATCTCATGTATTCAAAAATATTTGCAGAACATTCTTTAGATGAATTCGTGACCAGGTCATACAGATAATGGAGGCGTTTTCTGTTTTATTTTGTTTTGTTTTTTAATTTTCTGGTTGGTGGAAAGGATAAAAGATTTATCTCTTAGGACCTTGGCTCTTACATATATGAGGCACTGAAATAATAAAACAACTATCATCTGTGAGTGCTTACTGTATGCCAAGCGCTGTGCTGTGTCCTTTAGACATATCATCTCATTTAATTCTTGTAATAACTGTGAGATATGCTTTGATTATCCCTTTTACAGCTTAGGAGACTAGAGATTCAGAGCAGTGAAGTTACTTAAATAAATAACATCATCAGCTCATAAGCAGTAGAACAAGGATACAAACCTCAATCTATTTAGTGCCACTGGGGGTTGTAAGGAATCAGAAGCTGGACTCCAGCCGCCCTGTCTCTCAAGAACATCTGGGCCTGGGCTCCTTCACAGGCTATAGCTTAACTTAGGCCCTTTCTAAGCCCTGGTGCAGGATGTAGGCCAGTTCCCAGGATCATCAGTCTTGGTCCAGAGACTCCAGGGCTGAAGTATAGTTCAACAGCCATGGAGCTAGACAATACCTGTCTAGAAACATCAGAGCTGGACAACACCTGTATGATGTGGGGAAGCCTCTACAACTGACACTATTTTGTTAATAGCCAGATATCTTGCTGATAGCAGAATATCTTGTTAATGCCTTCATTTGTTAATAGCTGATCCTACCTCACCTCTTTGTGAGCCCTTTTCTGTTCCCACCCTTTCATCATTCGTTTTTGTCTCATCTCTCTTCTCCTACTTCCTGGTGTAATTCTAGATCACCTTTCTTGATCACCATAGGAACATACATTACAACATAAAAAACACTGAATTATGGAGGGGTTTCAAAGTTAACTTCAAGTGTAGGAGCAAATTCCATTTTTCTTCTTTCTTGCTCCCCAGGATTATTTCAGCACTTTAGATGTAACAAACATTAAAAAAATATCTGTGAATGAATTTATGTTATAGTTTTAAGAGGAAATATGTCATAGTATGGTAGTGATGTTCAGAGAAATTTTTGGGATATCTCTCTGACCACTGAAGAAAGATTCATAAACACTTTTTAGATTCATTACTGTTGAGAATAAAAGGGGCACACAATGAAGCTTAAATTTGACTTAGAAAAATGAAGAAAGGTTCTTATTCACTAAATAACTGCATTCCAAGTCATTTCAACTTATCATTAAGAATAAATTCCTTAATTCTGGGAAATCTTAATATGTAGAAGTCTTACCTCTGCCATGCTGTGGTAGTCATTGAGTAAAACAGAGGAAAGGCAGCTTTTCTTGATGCTGTGTGTGTTTATTTTACATGTACTCTTGCCAGATATCTGCAGGATATGCCTTTCATAGAGCTATGTGCCAGTCATCTCCAGGGAGCATAGTTTCTAATAGTATTTTAATTGAGATAAGTAACAGTGATTACTGTAATAAACTCTCTCAAGTCCCAATGACTTAACACAGTAGAAGTGTTATTTTTTGCTCACGGATCAGCAAGCCGTCTATCTCATGGTCATTCAGGGACTGAGTTTTCCTCCACTCCCTTTTAGGAGCTCACAGTCTTCTAATGGCCAGAAAGTGGGTAACAGAGAGGAGCTTATGGGAAGTTTCTTAATGCTTCAGCCTGAACTATGGGATAGAATCATGCATGAGGGCCCAGTCACACAGTCATGCCTTCAAGTGCAAGAGGAATGGACGTGTCATCTAGCTGCGTGCTCAGGAAGTAGAAGAAAAGAGTTTTGGTGAACACAGAGCAGCTGCAGCCACGAGGTGGTCTGTAAGCCACCACCAAAGCCCATTGTTTCAACAACAGTTAGCTTTTACAGTGCTTTACTCACAGGATTGAGATTTCAGAATCAGGAAAAAAGAAAAAGGAGTATCTCATTAAATCTTTGCATTGGGTTCTCTGTAGTTTCTTCTACTTTGTTACATAGACTTTTCCTTCAGATTTTGAAAAGTGACTCAAAACTAGTCTAGAGATGTAGTGAACCCTCCCTAAAGAAAAATGCCATGTAGTTTTTGCTAAGAAGGTCACAGAATATAGGAATCCTGGTGCCAAAAATCAGATAAAAACCCAAGTTACACATATTGAAAATTAAGGCAATAGCATTGTTATTCAGTTTGTTTATCTAGTTCTTCTGAGACTCAATTCTAAAGAAGGTAGAGGGTTTGTTCTCACCTTCTTCTGTAGAGTTTTCTTAGTAGATATGCTTTTAAGAAAAGATGCTCTGGGCAACCTACCAAATGAGAGAAAATATTTGCAAATCCTATGTCTAATAAGGAGTTAATATACAAAATATATGAAGAACTCACAATTCAGTAGCAAAACAAACAATCCAATTAAAAAGTGGGCAGAGACTCTGAATAGATAATCTCCAAAGAAAATATACAGATGGCCAATTGGTATATGAAAAGGTATTCAACATCACTAATCATGAGGGAAATGGAAATTAAAATCACAATGAGCAATCACCTCACACCTGTTGGAATGGCTATTATCATAAAGACAAGAAATAACAAGTGTTGGTGAGGATGTGCAATACCTCATGCACTGTTGGTAGGAATGTTAAGTGGTGCAGCCACTATGAAAAAGAGTAGGGAGCTTCCTCAAAATTAAATATAGAGCTACCATGTGATACAACAATTCCACTTCTGTATATTTATCTAGAGGAATTGAAAACACTTACTCAATGAGATATATGAATTCCATGTTCACTACAGCATTATTTACAATAACCAAGAAAAACATGGAAACAGCCTAAGTGTCCATTGATGGATGAATAAAGAAGAGGTGATATTTACATATATAATGGAATGTTATCTAGCCATAAAAAAGGATGAAATCTTGCCATTTTTGACAACATGGATGAACCTTGAAGGTATTATGGTAAGTGAAATAAGATAGAGAAAGACAAATACCATATGAGCTCAGTTATATATGGAATCTTAAACACACACACACACACACACACACACACTCACACACACACACACACAGTAAGACAAATACACAACACAAAAACCTGACCTTATAGTGAATACAGAGAACAGACTGGTGGTTACTAGAGGAGAGGTTGGGGTGGTAGGCAAAATGAATGAAGGTGGTCAAAATGTACAAGCTTCCAGTTGTAAAATATAGGGATATAATATACAGCATCGTTATTATAGTTAAAAATACCATATTATCTATTTGAAAAGTTCTCATCACAAGAAAGAACAAATGTATAACTATGTCTGGTGATGGATGTGAACTAGACTTACTGTGGTGATTATTTCACTGTATAAATGCATATCAAATCATTATGTGTTCACCTGAAACTAATATGTTATATGCTGATTTTATCTCAGTAAAAAAAATAAAATAAAGGAAAAAAAGAGAAAACAAAAAGATGCCTTGCTTTATGTGGTCAGGCAGATTTATGAGGGTCTCAGTAACAAGGGTCCTTATTCTGGAAAGTCTGAGACATTAAGTTTGATAATGAAAAAGACTTG